GAGCATCAAAGAATTTGAAGGATGGTTTAAATGGCAAAAAGGGGAGGGGCACGTTGACTTTTATTATCTCATCATCATTCTTAGGATTTCATTTCAAATAGAACAAATTTAATATTGTACAATGCAACTGGGATTAGACGAGTTTAAAGTAGATTCTAAAAGTACAGAAATACATACAACAGGCTCCAAGTATCTTAATACCCTTTCAATGTAAATTTCACTCAATAGTAAATGAAATATATTTGAAATGTACAACGCATAGGGACCTGACATTTCGTTTCACTTCAATATGCCAAAAGGAGACCTGAGGTGACTTTTGCTTGCAATAGTATACAGGGCCCTGTGTTAAATGTCAACTAGTCCTCTTTCCAAATGTAAACATTGATCCCAACAGCTCATCTACATAGGTGCTTTCCCCTGCTAGGTGAGTCGAACCCAGAACTACCAATTAAAGGTGCTCTATTGATCTAGCTATGTCAAATTCTTTTCAGCAAGCACCAAAGTGAGACAATTCACAGAGTCATATTGCTAATAATTTTCAAAAAATGAAATTAATTAATAAGTGAGTCACTATGCTTATATAACTAAAAATGAATATATTTAACAAAATAATTCTCATTTCTCATTAAATATTCTTCGTTTCTATATAGTGTGTACTTGTCTGAGGCATCCGACATTAACATAAAAACTGATTTGCACCAAGAGCCTAGACCTTAATTAAGACAATTAGCTTAAGACACCATATATCTTTCATACAACTACCATATTTGACAGGATAAGGTTGCTGGCACATAGGTGAATGACAAGTGGGCCACCATTAATTATTAGACATGTTTTTGCCTCAAACACCATACCTTTTAATTTGACTATCCCCTATTGTTTTTGTTCAATACACCCAAGTACAGTGACATTTTGGGGAATGTAGTAAAATTTGCAAAACAAACCCGACAACTTTCAGAAATTATGAAATAAGGAAAAGCATGATGGATATCCAGAACTTCAAAATCAAAATTTGTGTAATATTTCAAACATATATACCTTGAGGTATTAAAGCAGTTCCCCTTATTACGTTAAATACGGTATATCTATTTTTAACAAAATACTTGTCATCCCTGAAATATATTCAATCTTCGAAAATAAAAATTGCGTGTATCAGGAACTACGATTCCATATAACAATGCGACACTTTGTCTTAACAAAACTGAATATCTTGCAAATAAACCTGTCATCGTATTCGCTTCATATTTTACGATAATTTATTCCTATCTATACATTTGTATTAATCATATCTCGACAACGCTTATCTACAAACCGGGATACACAAGACTTTCAGTCCTACCATATACATGTCTTTGTAACTTAATCCAACGTAATTTTGAAAACTTGTATTAACCATAATTTCAATTTTGGACACAAATCCACATCCAGTCAAATCTGTTTAAAAATGAACATGTATAACAAATTCTGATAATTAAAATTTGATTCCATTTCACAAGAGATCTATGAAATTGTCCCAAAATTTTAATAACCAATTATTGTTCTACAAAGCATCACTTTAAAATGATAAAAAACTTCTAAAGACTGTTTCAAAAATCTCGCATAAAATGAAAATTCAATATTGATTCTATATACAAATTAAGAAGGAACACAGACACACAAAGATTAATTTCACGCCTTAAAGTGTTATTGTGGGCTTAAACTCAGGAGCAGTAGGTTTGACACAGGTAAAACATGGCTAACACGCTATGCATCACATAACAAATTTTTAGATTGTTTTATATCCGTAAGCATAATAAGATTGTGGTCTATCTAAAAGAAAACGTAGGATTGCCGGCGAAAGGTAACACCCAAATCTGTGACATACATCAGTCATAGTAACTTAACGGAAAAGGCACCAACGTCTAGCAACATGAAATACGATTTTTGCATATAAATTTTACGAAGATATTATGAAATCCATAATTATCATATCAATTAACACATCAAATTTTGCTGACTTTTTTTTCTGTAAGGAAAAAATTATATTTAAAAGACTTTTTCCGACTATGAGAGATTGTACATACCAGTTATTGTGAAAACATCCTTGGAAGTTGTGTATCGCACAGGTGAAGTGACAATGTAACAGGTGAAAATTTAAAGAGCTGAGAATACCTGTCAAATGGCTAGGGAAGATATGCAGTTCAATATGAAACGTATTCATCTCCAGACAAACACCACAGGATGGGAGATTGTACAGCCTCTGTCATTGAATCACAGGATGGGAGATTGTACGGACTCTGTCACTGTATCACAGGGTGGGAGATTGTACAGACTCTGTCACTGTATCACAGGGTGGGAGATTGTACAAACTCCATCACTGTATCACTGGGTAGGATATTGCACAGATTCCATCACTGTATCACAGGGTAGGATATTGTACAGACTCTGTCACTGTATCACAGGGTGGGAGATTGTACAGCCTCTGTCACTGTATCACAGTGTAGGAGATTGTACAGACTCCATCACTGTATCACAGGGTGGGAGATTGTACAGACTCCATCACTGTATCACAGGGTGGGAGATTGTACAGACTCCATCACTGTATCACAGGGTAGGAGATTGTACAGACTCTATCACTGTATCACAGTGTAGGATATTGTACAGACTCCATCACTGTATCACAGGATGGGAGACTGTACAGACTCTGTCACTGTATCACATGAAGGTGGGATATTGTACAGACTCCATCACTGTATCACAGGGTGGGAGATTGTACAGACTCCATCACTGTATCACATGAAGGTGGGAGATTGTACAGACTTCATCACTGTATCACTGGGTGGGAGATTGTACAGACTCTGTCATTGTACCACAGGGTGGGAGATTGTACGGACTCTGTCACTGTATCACATGAAGGTGGGAGATTGTACAGACTTCATCACTGTATCACTGGGTGGGAGATTGTACAGACTCTGTCATTTTATCACAGGGCGGGAGATTGTGCAGACTCTGTCACTGTATCACATGAAGGTGGGAGATTGTACAGACTTCATCACTGTATCACTGGGTGGGAGATTGTACAGACTCCATCACTGTATCACATGAAGGTGGGAGATTGTACAGACTTCATCACTGTATCACTGGGTGGGAGATTGTACAGCCTCTGTCATTGTATCAGAGGGTGGGAGATTGTACAGACTGTCATTGTATCACAGGGTGGGAGATAGTACAGACTCTATCATTGTATCACAGGGTGGGAGATTGTACAGACTCCATCACTGTATCATAGGGTGGGAGATTGTACAGACTCTATCACTGTATCACAGTGTAGGATATTGTACAGCCTCCATCACTGTATCACAGGATGGGAGACTGTACTGACTCTGTCACTGTATCACATGAAGGTGGGAGATTGTACAGACTTCATCACTGTATCACTGGGTGGGAGATTGTACAGACTCTGTCATTGCATCACAGGGTGGGAGATTGTACAGACTCTGTCACTGTATCACAGGGTGGGAGATTGTACAGCCTCTGTCATTGAATCACAGGGTGGGAGATTGTACAGACTCTGTCACTGTATTACAGAGAGGGAGATTGTACAGACTCCATCACTGTATCACATGAAGGTGGGAGATTGTACAGACTCCATCACTGTATCACAGGGAGGGGGATTGTACAGACTGTGTTACTATATCACAGGGTGGGAAATTGTACAGACTGTGTTACTATATCACAGGGTGGGAGATAGTACAGACTCCATCCCTGTATCACAGGGTGGGAGATTGTACAGACTCTGTCACTGTATTACAGAGTGGGAGATTGTACAGACTCCATCACTGTATCACAGGGTGGGAGATTGTACAGACTGTGTTACTATATCACAGGGTGGGAAATTGTACAGACTGTGTTACTATATCACAGGGTGGGAGACTGTACAGACTGTGTTACTATATCACAGGGTGGGAGATAGTACAGACTCCATCACTGTATTACAGAGTGGGAGATTGTACAGACTCTGTCACTGTATCACAGGGTGGGAGATTGTACAGACTGTGTTACTATATCACAGGGCGGGAGACTGTACAGACTGTGTTACTATATCACAGGGTGGGAGATAGTACAGGCTCCATCACTGTATCACAGGGTGGGAGATTGTACAGACTATGTCATTGAATCACAGGGTGGGAGATTGTACAGACTCTGTCATTGTATCACAGGGTGGGGGATTGTACAGACTCTGTCACTGTATCACAGGGTGGGAGACAGTACAGACTCCATCACTGTATCACAGGGTGGGAGACTGTACAGACTCCATCACTGTATCACAGGGTGGGAGATTGTACAGACTGTTATTGCATCACAGGGTGGGAGATTGTACAGACTCTGTCACTGTATCACAGGGTGGGAGATTGTACAGACTATGTCATTGAATCACAGGGTGGGAGATTGTACAGACTCTGTCATTGTATCACAGGATGGGAGATTGTACAGACTCCATCACTGTATCACATGGTGGGAGATTGTACAGACTCCATCACTGTATCACATGGTTGGAGATTGTACAGACTCTGTCACTGTATCACAGGATGGGAGATTGTACAGTCTCTGTCATTGAATCACAGGTTGGGAGATTGTACAGTTTCTGTCATTGTATCACAGGGTGGGAGATTGTACAGACTCCATCACTGTATCACTGGATGGGAGATTGTACAGACTCTATAGCTGTATGAACAGATTCTAGCACTGTATGACTCAAGGACATTCCTGTTAAATTCGATATAATAGAGCTGTGGAGATATTCATGTTTTTTGTGTTTAGTAAATAAGTGTGACAATATCCACAAGCAATATACATAGATGTAGAGTTATTATATATGTAGATTTCAAAACCACTGCCAATGACAAAATTTCCACATCACGATTAGTTTTAAATAACAACACGAAAAAATTTATATAAGAGAAAAAAATCCATTTTTACAGAAAATGAAAAATCAACAAAATAACCTAATTGATTCTCACCTTTCAACCCAAGTCTTTATCACTGCCTGAATCTTGCATGTTGCCGTCTGTAGGTGTAGGAATTTCCTGCGGGCCAGGAACATACGAGTGAGCTTCTGGATTGTGACCACCGAGTTGTACTGGATGTTCTTGGCATGTAAATCTAACTGATGCTCAAACGTCTCCTTCATGAAAACCTGTGAGGAGTTTAAAAACGAAAAATAAAAATATTCTAACAAAATATTTTTTGGTGAAAAACCTCATCAGAATGTAATTGCAAGAATAAGATTTTCATCAACTACATATAAATTTCTCTGAAAACCAACTATATAGAACTTGAGAGCTTTTGTAATCCTTTCAAAAAATGTTATCTGTAGCTGATGAAACTATGAAAAAAAGCTTTTAAGCTAACAAAGCTTTCAATATTACTGTCCAGGTCATGTAAATAAGGACATCATAATTTAAAGCATGGTCAGCTTTACACCATACACATTTTTCATTTGTTATTTTCCAAAAATATTGAAATTCTTACCTAAATATTCATTAATATAATAATTGTACTGATAATGGATATCATTGAAAAGAAATAACAAAGAAACTTGTAAATTCTAAGAATTATTTGTATTTTTTTTTTATGAAAGCTATGATAAATTATTTCCAGGGCGCTGTTCCCAGAAAAAAGGTCTTGAATGCATCCCATAATAACTCATAACATGACATTTTGACCTTAAATTTTTCTCAGGATGGTACGTACAACAACTAAAGCATGACAGCTCACCATTATAACATATTTGTTTCCAAGAAATAATAATCTTTTAAACCCAAACAATATGTTTCTGTCAAAAAATGAAAAATGTGCAGAGAAAATGTGTACCTGAGGTATACCTAAGGGAAAAAAATGAAGGTCGCTCATATATATCCAAAGATTTTGAAAACATTGAATAGCATAATTATGTACCAAATGGCTTCAAAAATGATAAATGGTCTGACAGTCTTTCAGAAATATATTATTAATACGAGTCGGCTCCTTCCACTTGCTAAGGATTCGGACACATAAAGATGTATGTTTGTATCTTGTACTGGTGACAGCATGAACAGGGGCTAACATGTAACAAAGTTCTAAAAGTTTACGATTAATTAAGAGATGAAAAAAAACATGGTTTACCACAAACAGGGTTTGTTTGTTTGTTTGTTTGTTTGTTTGTTTCTTTGATATATTTATCATGGCCAGTGAACACAATAAGGTCACATGGAGTCAACAAAATAACTCATTTTGACAACACTGAAATGTTGCAACATTAAACATATTTTTTGCAAATTGCTATGCAATACAGCCAATCCTGCATTAAGGATCCCTGTCCCTCTGCACCATGGTTTTTCATAAGTATAGTGACCCCCCCTTAATTCCACTTCGGATTTAACAGTTTGTCCATGACACTTTGGCTGACCAACTAACTCAAAGTGTGTTAGAGTGACAGTATAACAATTTGAAGCCCAGGGTACCGTTCATGTTCTATTTTTCACCCAGAACAGTATTGTTGATAATTTTTTGGTTATTTCATCACCATTATTTTTTCATAAAAGTCTCTGGAAGATATACTTTTCCTTTCAAGATTGATTAATCAAAGTTATAGTCATGCCGGAAAAATAAGTTACGATTGCATAGTTTTATTTTTAGGCAGTGGTACGGGGATCCTTAAGAGACCACCCTTTTGAAGTCCAAAAAGTGGTCTCTCAATGCAGGTGGTCCCTTAATACAGGTTCAGTTCACCGTGAAATCACTTCAATGGAGAACATTAAAAGTGGCCTCTTAACACAGGTGGTCTCTTATTATTCAGGTGATCACATAAACAGGTTTGACTTTAGAACACAAAGCTATGGAGAGCACTACTGATGAAGTCAAAACTGCATAATCGAATAAACTAGGTTTTCTGTATACATTTCTATATTAGGACCTAATTAAACCAGTTTAATAAATAGAAACCAAATCCTGTGCAATTAAATTAATCCACATGTTAATGTTGGTTTTGTGTGCAGTTTGATTTAGACAGGCAGGGTTCAATGTTTGAACCAATTCCATCGCTCAAGTCAATATCAAAGGATTGAAATATTTTACCCATTAAATTATCAATTATTTTAAAATCAACGGCCTGTAACTTTGAACTTGTTCACAATTCAATTTTTGGCTTTGAGGAAATATAATGTGTCGATATTGCAAGGGAAATAACTCTTATGACAAAGTCTGTGTACAACATCACTGCACATTGGGATGACATTACTGAAATTGATTGCAGTTTTGACCTCTAGCTTGCAGTCTTCAGAATAAATTTATTTATACTCGAATATGTAGATATACTGTATTTGAGCTAATAAGCACCCCATTCCTTATAAACACCCCAATCCTTTTTCCTGGCTGAAGTTTCTTCTATCTCTCAACCATTATAAAAACTTTAATGAAAAATATTTAAGTGAAATACAGAATGACAATAAAGCCATTCACAATAGACATTTGAGTAAGAATGTTTCACATCATAATGAAAATGTCCAGACCAAATGACGTAACATTCCATTGCAAGTGGCTCTAATTATTTCGAGTTTCAAAACGGACAGAATTTTTTTATGCAGTTAATTAATACATGTTGTCTTGATAGGTGTTTCAGTTTCTGTCCAATTAAACAATCACTCGTGTGGAATTTCAACACCAAAATGCAAATATATTCTCATCAAAGTGTCAAGTCCTTTACAAAAAACGTCAAAATTAGGTAATTCGTATGCACTATAGGGAACGGTGACACATTTATATACAAATTTAATAATGTCTTAACAAGTTTTATCAAAATAAAAAATAAATAAAAAATAGACATAGAAAAAAAGGAAATCTTTTTTTTCGCATTAAGTACATCTATATTCATACAGAATTATGTTTAAGAAATTCAAGTCATGCACAGGTTTCTTTAAATTTCTAATTAAGGAGACATGTAACCTTACACACTATAACGAAGATTTGTCATTTCTTGCCATTTAACTCATTCACCCCTGAAATTTCATAATAAACTATTCCAACCTTTGAATTGGAAGGGTTCAAATGTGTCTTCAGGGGTGAATATTGGGTTAAGGACCCCTGTCCTACTGCTGGCAAAATGCTAGAGAGTTCCACTGTGTTTACTTGTATATATCGTAACCTACCCTTAAAATTTCAATTCAGATATATCTGTAGCATGGCTGTCGATTAGGAAGGAGACTCCCTCATTTTGACCAAACTTTACCAATCTCCCTAAAAATTCCCTCGTTCAAGTCCAAAATCACACAAACTCAAAATTTACATCCTGTGGTCAAATGATCTCCTAGTTACTGCAGAGTGTGTGTGATGATTATAACAGGTGTAGCAGTTTGGCCAGGTCACTTCCCTGGTCCAGATACCTCAGTTGTTTAGAGTGCCAGTTTAATAATCGGAGGTACAGGGTTCAAAACCGGGGACATGAGTCCTTATCGACATTTAACCATCATTAACTAATACTAAATAATTACCTATTATATTGAAAATATCTCGCATTAATTTTCTTTTTTACAATCATCTTTTAAATTCATAATACTTTCAAAATGAAAAGGTTTTTATAATGAGTTCAAGTTGAAGTGTCCATGAGTTATGTCCCCTTACCTTTGTGGCCCCAATCCTGTACATATGAGACATGGATGGCCCCTGAGTAAGCAAAATCTGATTGCACACCTCCGTTGGTAATGCTCTGTCATTGATTTTTCCCAACAGGAGGAAACGGTACCTAAAAATAGAAATACATTTTGATGAAGGGAACATGTCACAGGAAATTTTAAAACTACTGTAGTGAACGAAATATTTCCATGCGTAAAATTATGTGTACTAAACGATTAAAAACTTGACAATATTCATTGTTCATTCATTCATCACAGATGAATTTTTACCTAAATTAAAAATTTGAAAAAAACAACAACATGTCATATGCTTGGACTTTTCAGAGATTTATCAGTATATTTGAGATGGTACATAATTAGGTAAGAATATCTATTTATTAAGAACACATCGAAATAAACATTGAAAGAAACAAACATCTTGAAATTAAATTGGACGAAACTTTCAAAAGTTTGTAACAGACAAGATTGATTATTGACATATCAGTTAAAACTGACTTGATATTACATAAAACTACCGAAGAAAGTTGTTTCAAATTTTAACAATCATTTTCAACTTTAAGTATGATGAAATTTGCTTCACACAAAACCGATTCAGACCATTTTCTATTTTTATGAATGGTTTAAGCTTATAGTCAGCCAGATAATTGATACACCAATCTTGCACAAAGTTAATTAAATTTCTTAAAAATTTAATAAAAGTGTAAAAAAAAGAGCTTCTTTACTGATCTTCAGAGATCTCCATGCTTTATCTCTTTATGTATAATTTTTTGCTTGTTTCATGTCAACTACATCTCAAGACAGTGTTTAAAGCTTAAAGGGACGCAACTCTTGATATCACAGGAAATACAACAGCTCACCTCTCGATGAAGACCGGGAATTTGACTCGGATAGGGAAGCCCATTTTTCGGATACGGATTGTTTCCAGCATCCCTGTGTATCGTAACTGGTCCAGCACCACGGTTTTCTCAAACTGCATCGGTGCCTTGTGATTGTTAGGTTTTATACATCGTACAAAATACGGGTTACATCTGTAAACAAAAATATAGAAAAGACATAGTAAGTCGGACTGACAGACCATGGGATGTTTGAAATATATACGTAAATTGAAGTTCACTTAAGGATACCTGTGTCACACTGCTGGCAAAATATTACAGATCTCCACTGTATTGTTTTGGTATATACGGTAACCTCCCCTTAATTACGTTTCAAACATAACTATTATAAAGCTCAATTGGGCAATAGCACCTTCGTTGACCAGGACGCGCAGCTGCTTAAAGCAACAGTTTAATAATCTTAGATCCAGGTTTCCGATCCAGGTCTGGCCATGCTGAAATTTGACACTCGAAATGCTGATTACAGTTTATTTTATCTTTATTATTTTTTCCTGGTATGATTTTTTTCTTTTCGGAAACATTTTTTTTTTTAAAGCTATAGTCATTCATGATGAGTCAGTTTCCGATGTATCAATCTTCCTACATTTCTCAACCTGGCTTCCGGTCACAAACTTAAATAAGACTATAGGGCACACAATTCTAATGACACATGATTCGTGGTTTTCAAAATAAGATATGCTTACTTTGACATGGTGTCAATGAGGGACAGCAATGACTCAGTAAAGCCAGCCGCCACTGTGGGCGTCCTTGGTTTGAGGGTCACATAGCGCCCAGTCGACTTGCTCAGCGTCTTTGTTATCAGCCGGTCGCGCATCTCTTTAAACATTGAGGCAATCATCTAAAAAGCAAAAGTGTGAAAAAAACTTTTTGATAAATTAAGATGATATTTTTTCATAAGTGTATATTGCATAACATATCCATCTATGTTTATAGAATACTAATTGCAATTTCTGATGATTTGGAAAAAAAATTGAATCAAGCAATACATTACAAATTCTTTATCAAAGCCTTTTTTCTTGAAGATAAACTATTCACAAACTAAAGTCAGATTTTCACAACATCAAATTCATAATTTACTTAGGAAAAGTTTACTTAGCGAGACAAATATTAGAACTGGGGCCCTATATGAACACTACATAGACTTCCTTCCTATTGAGCTATCTGGTTTCCATGGTAATTACCCTGTTTTTACTTTCACACAAGAGTTCCACGACGTCACTCCTCAAAGTGTCCTTGTTCTTCTCCAGGAAGTGGTCCACCTGTTGGAAATAAACAGTTCATAAATTACTCTCTTCTTTCCTGAACTTTCAGCAGTGCCTTTACTCTTCTTACATCACCAATACAGTTTAATACTTGTATTTAGAGACCTTCTCACGAAGTCCGAAAACTGGTCTATTAACACAGGTGGTCTGTTAATGGAGGTGTTTGCATGAGTAGGTTTGACTGATCTAGTTTGTGTTCACTAATAAGCCCACCCCCTTGTTCACAACATCTTATACAACTGAAAGCAACACATTGTAACAGGTACTAGTTTCCAGAATGCAGGATCAAGTATAGGAGTAGGCAGAGTACCAATTTTACCTCTTTGTTATAAGTAACAGACACCTCCCCACCCAATCTCTCTCCCTGGGAGTTAAAAGATGAAAACTTTTAATTGAAAATTGTTGATGCTAATTGAAACAGAATACAAAAAAAACCTGTCTACTCTGACCTGGAACTCTTGTCCTGCAGGATGTTCTGTTTAGATAGGTTTCACTGTAAGATACTTACACTGTATTTTATTTTGCCAGCAAAGTGGATCACGTAAAACTCGGGGACCGACATCCGTGGCTTGTCGTAGAGAGAATTGCTGGAGTGGTGGAAGTGACATTTCTCCAGGAATGAAAGATCTGTGGCCTGTAACACACAAACACAAATCTTTAAGTAAAGTCAATCAAAACTTAAGACATCATTAAAAAACGTACAAGCCATTCAGATTGATATGTCTCGCCTGTGCAGCCCGGCTTTGACCATCAATGCATGTGCCACGTTTGGTTGGTTTAGCACTTACAGGTGCAGAGGAACTATAACTTTAACGCAAAAACTTCATGCTGATGGAGATGCTTACAAAGTCAATGGACCATGAAAGGTAGGCCGCATCCAGCATTTGATGCAAGGGTTAAGATGTACTATCTGAGATGCATCAATGGTCTAAGTTTGGTTGGTCTAGCACTTATACTTTCAGTGAAACTAAGTTAAATGCAAAAAGTTCAATGTTGACGCCGGAAAAGCATCACCTTAGTCTCGCTTCCGCTACTTCGTCGCGGCAAGACCAAAATGAAAACGCAAAAAAATATCATTACAATCAATAAAATCTCGATCTTCGACGAGTAGGTTTCACAGTGGTGTTAATAAGTTTTGATGAGGTGGATATTCAGGTTTATGTACCTGTGGAAAGCTGCATTCGTCATCCAGAATGACTAGGATTCCAGCAGGTTTGCTGGCGAGGAGGTCGATGACCGGCTGATTGTCTTGGAATTCTATCAACGACCAGTCAATGTTTTCTTTAGTGTATTCCCTCTGCTCGAGACGGAAGATGTGCTGATTGAAGAAAAACTGTAACGTCTCGTTTGCATAGTTGATACACAGCTGCTCAAAGCTGTTGACGTGGAAGTCCTGTGAGTAGAAAAATATTGTAAATTGTTGAGATTTTTTGGATAACCATGATCTTCATTTATCAAATCATTACTGTGTTATGTAGTGAATACATTTATCCATTTGTGACGTCATACTTTAGACAACAGACATGACGTCATGGTATTGTGATATTGCATTGAAGAAAAAAAAGATGAATTCAAAATGATGTTGAAGACCTGACCAGGGGGAAAAAAAATCATGAATATTCACATTCATTTGTTGTACTTTCATAAAAAAAATATATGGTAAATTTTGAAATAGAATGAATTTTTCACTTTTACCATGAGTCACTATTAACTATATTAGTTTTTATTCATAAGTGGCATTTTTTTTTTGCTTACCTCAAAACCAAAAATATCTAGAACGGCGATGGCGGACGTCTTTTCTCGCTCGGCCCGACAGATGATGAGGTTGACTCTCTCAACCAACCAAGTAAACAGACGACTGTAAAGCGCCTTGGATATGGCGTCCCTGTAAATTAACGTCAAACATATACCCAAAATTATAAAAGGTGCTTCGAATCTCTTTAGACATTTTTTTTTTATTTTTTTCGTTCCGTTAAATTTTGTAATACCACTGATTAATTCTAACTGGATGAAATGGCTGTGTATTAAAATGTTTACGTAGTTTTCTACACTGACCAACTAAACTCCTGACCAACTAAATTCCTAACTTCAAATTTCTAGAAATTGTTTTCTGCAATGTTTTGCAATCACTCAAGAATTGTCTGGGGACGATTCGCCCCAAATATACGCCATTGGATTTTTCTTTTCTTTTTCCATCTGTCTGTCTTCAATATTATAAACTAGAAAATGATTCTGTAAGACATAAATGCCCCCGCTCATGGATTGGACGCAACACGACGCAACAGGACGGGACTGGACATGGGCAACACTATATGCCCCCCCCCCCCCATTTTATGGCGGGGGCATATAAATGCCCCTCTCCCCTTTCCCTCCTCACACCCATCCACCTGATGACCCACCCAACCAAAAGGTTCAGAAGCTGGTCTGAGCCTGTTTGTCCTTTTCATTGGCCAGCATTGATGAAACAGTACATACCTAGAATCCAGCGCCTGTTCTATGTTAAAAGGTGTCAGGACACGATCGCCCCTTGTTTCCTGAAAAATACAAATTCAGACAATCTAAAGAACCATTCTTTATCACTCATATGGTATTCTATTTATCATAATTGCTTTTCACTTCAGATGAGAAGGCATTTACTGTGAAATCACTAATTTTCGAGGTGTTTTTAATTTCGTTGATTTCGTGGGTAATCTTAATCCATGAATTCATAGGTCCACCAAGTAATTACGAGTGTGATATAAAGCAATTCTCCATGTGAGTGGGTCCTCGCAATCTGCGTATTCATGTTCCAATGAAATGGTGTTTTGTCAGGAATCCACGAAATTTTGGTCCCATAAAAACATTTGATTTTAAAGCATTACAGCACATATTTATACTTTTACTACGAGTTGGTGTTTATTAGCGACAAGGGTTATTTTGGCCTTTACTGAGTTTAGATTAGGTGGTTAAAGGGCTTGTTTAAGCCTTTTTTGCTGTAACTGTTGAAGTCAAAGCTTGTTGAAGCCTTACTTATTCAAATTTTAGAGATGGGGGCTTGTTTGAACCTTACTTACTGTAACATTGAAGATAAGGGCTTGTTTGAGTTTTACTTACTGTAACATTGAAGATTAGGGCTTGTTTGAGTTTTACTTAATACAAATTGAGAGGTTAGGGCCTTGTTTGAGCCTTACTAGTTAACTGTAACTTTTGATTTAAGATTATCTTTTTTGTGTTGTACTAGTTTATTGAACTTTGGAGATTATAGGGATTGTTTGAGCTTTGTTTTGTGCAGATTTGGAGGTTAGGACTTGTATGTTTGAGCCTTGCTTTGTGCGGATTTGGAGGTTAGGGCTTGTTTGAGCCTTAATAACTTCCTGTGACTTTTGTGGTCAGAGCTTGTTTGAGCCTTAATAACTTGGTGTGACTTTGGTAGTTAGGGCTTGTTTGAGCCTTACAACTTTACTTACTGTGACTTTGGTAGTTGGGGCTTGTTTGAGCCTTATAACTTACTGTGACTTTGGTAGTTAGGGCTTGTTTGAGCCAGTCCTCAGACAGCTGTAGAAGATGGGACATCCACTTGAGTTCAGCGTCACTCCCAAGCAAAACAGTGTCAGGTCCGTTGTCGTGCTGAAACACAACAGTTAAATCAAATTCAAACTTCACCTAAAAGAACTGGAATTCACTTGCATTTTTTCCTCGACTGTGTTTCCATCAATAAAGCCATGACTGCTCTATGTCTTCTGTTACATTGCATCAGAATTTAATACTCACGAAGTATTTGAATTTTTGATTATCGCTCCTTGCAAAAAAAACCAGGGAAAATAAATATCTTACAAAATGTACAGAATTTCCGTTAGCCTAAAGCACCGTTGAAATTCTAGATTTATTGTATATACACAGTGTTTTTTAGCCTGTGCCTAAACAAAATATGGAATATAGGAGTCTTTTTTTTATGAAAATTGAGGGAAGTTCCTCCTGAAGTCCTCTTCATTTTGGGATTATAAAGGTACTTTTTGGCTAGATGAAACAGCCTCTTTTAGACAGTAAAACATGACAAACAAAACCACTACATACATATATATATATATGATTGTCCTTACCTGTATTGCTTTGAAATATATATTTCCTAAATGTAAGACACACGACAGAATCTTGAAAATGGTTTCTTGTTCGTTCCGTTCAAAGTTGAGAACTTCCATGGCAGTGTTGAGAACTCGGAAATTTTCAGCATCATCGCGCCCTGAAATACTACAGCTTCCACCCTGTAAAAGAAAAAATCATCCTTGAATTTACTTTTTGATAATGGTAGAACTGTTGTTATTCTGGAAATCATAATTTATATGACAAGATTGCCAACGGCAAATTTATTATTAATTTTATTAACATAATTTATATCCCTGATCTGAATACTGGTAGTCTATAAAGCTGCATACTTCGGTAGCAACAAAAAGGGAAGTTAACTTATGAAAATCTGTTGAGATTTCTTGAGGATGAAGGGAATAGGGGAGATATAAGCTCTGGCACTTGACAATTAACATATCCCTTCTGTGACATTTTAAATTTGACAGTGCAGAACTCAAACCCATACCTATTTGTATAGCTAGGTGAACTAGAGCAATCAACTCTATAATTCAAAAGTCATAGTAACAAACCTTTAACCCAAGTCAGGATTCAAGGCACTGAACTCTCTGGTAAATAATAACACAGAAGATTCTACCGGGGAGCCACACTGCGAGGTTCAGCAGTAATTAAGATCAATAAATAAAAAGGAAAACAGGAAATACGCTGAGATGCCTCCCAAACATCTCCATCTTGTAGCATATTCAGTGACACTTCATCGTACAAGACTCGGAGAACGGACAACAAGACAATCAATTACAAATGTGCTGATACGGAAGAATCAAGTTTTTATTGAAATAAAATATTAATTCCTGGTTGAAGCATGGAAAATCTAGCTTTTGAATCATTGATAGTATTTTTTTCATGTTTCATTTCCTCCAATATAACGGCTGATGAATCTAAAATATTCAAGTTGGCATTTGCTGTAACGATCAAATCTGTGGTTTCCATTCCTAGGTTTAATCGACCAAGAAACGCTGATGTTGATTTTCCAATCGACTACCAGCTGCCCGGATCCTGAACTAATTAATAATCAATACCAGCAGAATAGGTGAGGTGTCCGAGCCTCCGCTACAGGTGTATACAATCTCAATGTGTTATCTCAAGTGAGGCTAGGGAATGAGATATGGGAAATCTATTGTATGTACACGTAATTATTTGTCTACATCAGAACTTATATATTTTAGTGTAAACATTGCTGATATTATAGAGAGCTAAATTTGTTTACAATTAATTTGGCTTCTTCAGAAAATGAAGTGTTGGCACAAGTAACCTCGTTTTTTTGGTATTTTTTTTATTATCTTATAGATTATAACTTTTACTAGGTAATATACTTTCGTCTATGAACATTTAATTTCAACCTTTTTATCTATGTACAGTTAATTTGATTTTCTTGAGATTTAAGAAAGTGCAATCCCACCTAGCTGCAAAAATGGGCATCAGTACCTAGGAAGTAACCCTTTGAAAAACTGATTTTCTCCTTAGAGAAGTTATTTGACAGAGCCCTGTCCTAGTCTACCCAGCTGTTTGAATGTGCATTAGCACACTGGGAAGTTAACATTTGATTAAATGGGGAAATATTTTATATGCACCAGAAATTTCTATTTGGGTATCTTTCAGTAGCAGGTGAGCCTAAGATATTTCCATGATCTCGAAACAAATTACAGGTGTTACCTAATTAACGGGTACGTTACCTGGTTCAGGTAGAAGTATTTGTTGGCAGACTGGAGTCCATACTTCCCTTTCTGCTCTTCATTAAACCCTGACAACATCTCGTAAAAAACATGGTAGTTTCTTTCTTCTGCTGCCTAAACAGACAATAAAAGTTTTTTTATTATCTACACCTTATCAAATATTTATACATTTATTGGAAGAAATGTAGGAAACCGAATAAATGATTCCTTAACCATGGGACCTAATAGGTAACTTCTACTCCCTGTCTCCTTTCAGATGTGAATATTTCCTGACTTACAACCCTACCCTCTTCTCCCCTCCCAACACAGACAATAATTTTATGTTACCATATATTTTAAACGTACTGATTCAATTAAAAAAGAATTCTAATGATGAAAAAGTGACACAAAATTTTGTATCATACACTGATTAAATTCAAATTCAAATTTTGCTGAAAGGGCCAAAACAAAAATTCAAGATGGCCACCATTTCAAATACAGACTTGCCAGCGTTGTGGTCTACTTACCTGTGTCACGAGGCGAGATTTCTCCAGTAAGTATTCCGAGGTACGTGCCCCCACTATGGACCCCCTAGAAAAAGAAACATTTGAATTCAGTTATTTCATTCATTTTCAATATTTCTCATTTTCCTTTAAAGCTAGTAATATATTAATATTATCTTTCTGAACTACATTAATCAAGAAAATTCTCATTCAATGCTAACTATTTTAAAATTTATTTTAATTTCTTAATAACATATTTCATCAGTCTCCAAAAAATTATCTGAAGATGAGCAAGATTTCTGAAAGTGATGCTTTAATATTGAATGTAATATTCCAAAGTGTTTGAAGACTCCATAGTGTAATAGATGAGAAGATAAGATATAAGAAAATAGATTTTCTCAATTTTATGATTTATTCAAAATCTGCGTGATTTGTTTAAACCTGGCCATAAAACCTATCATTTCATTTGATAATCCTTGTTCAACACTAAACTAGCGAAGGGGCATTTTAGATTTTTTCTTTGACATAATACCAAACCCCTTTATAATGCCAAAATTCTGCTGGATAAAGATGGCAATATAGCAAGGTTTAACTGTTTGTATGATAATACAGCATAAATCTACTTACGTTTTAAAGAATACTTCAATATATTTGCCGAATCTGCTGGAGTTGTCGTTTCGGATGGTTTTTGCGTTGCCGAAGGACTCGAGGAGCGGGTTGGCTTCGAGGATTTGTTCAGTGATGAGGTCGTTACCAGACTTGTTTACCGCTGCCAAGTATTGCATCAACAGTTTAGTGGCCTCTGTTTTACCAGCTCCACTCTCACCACTGAAAGTAGGTCATGGATTCTTAAAATAGGTCATGTAAACCTTAAATAGGTCACATAATCTTAAAAAAGGTCATGTGTACCTTAAATAGGTCAGAGAATCTTAGAAAAGGTCACATGTATCTTAAATAGGTCACATATTCTTAAAATAGGTCACATGTACATTAAATAGGCCACATATTCTTAACATAGGTCACATATTTTTAAAATAGTCAGATGTCATATTTTTGTTATGTCATCACAGTATTAACAGTATAAAGTCACTTTTGTATAATAAGTGAGATGCACAATATTGGAAATAGACCACAAAAAATAAAGACCTCAAATTAGGATCTTGACACCCACCATTGTAAGATTTTCGTTACTTAAAATAGAGAATAGAAAGTAGGTCAAAGAATGGAAAATTATGTCATGGAATGCAAATTAGTTTACTTACATATGTATATAGTTAATACAATATAGGTTAAATTATCATAAACGTGTCGTGTCACAGAAATAAGGTCACCTAATGAGAAAGTAGGTCACCCAATAAAAATGAGGTCACCTAATGAGGAAGTAGGTCACACAATAAAAATAAGGTCACCTAATGAAAAAGTAGGTCACACAATAAAAATAAGTTCACCTAATGAGAGAGTAGGTCACACAATAAAAAACCTGTGTTCTCATATAAAACTGACACAGATTTTACATGGTTTGTATGGATGACGTACATGTTTCTTTCACTCATTCTGATTCACCCCTGAAAAAAATATTTTGACTCTTCCAATTCAAAGGATGGAATTGTTCATTATGAAATTTCAGGGGTGAATGAGTTAACTTTTGTTTTCAGATGACACATACAAAGACATTGACCTTAAAGTTATTGTTCTGATACATAGCCAGAAAACAAGTAGGTCACAGAGATTATGCAAATTAGGTAACAGACGCAAACCTTTGATTAGGTCATCATTATTCTTTTTGCTCTAAACGAAAGGAGGTCACACCTGTGCATTAGGCTACGAGGAACTAAAGCACAATGATTTAAGGAATTATTTCTTTTTTTGCCCTTAACAAAAGTAGGTCAAACCACTTGTGTGCATTATAAATATGTCAAACGTCTGGTTATTTTTTACGAGTGATTTACAAGCATTCCTTGCATTGATAATGTGGTGTTATTCCTAATCCTTAATTAATCTGTATTACCCGGGTAAGCAGTTTAAATTTTTCTTCTTAATTTTTTTAGTCCTATGAAGTTTGTTATTTTAATCTTTAGAATCCTTAATGCTTAAAGATTCTTATTGTTTCATAATACAATTCCTACAAACAATATTTTAGATTGTATTAAGATATAAAAGACATACATTTTTTGGTTAATAAGAAATTATAGAAATATCATGCAAATTCTTTTTGATGTCTAAATACATAGTTCAATCTTACAAAAAATGTGTATCGTTTTAATATGTAGACATAAACAAAATCAACACAGTAAATATAGTTGATTATAGTTGATAACATTTTCAAGCCTTACGGCCATCTTCCATTGATTGCATTACGTCAAAATGTTGTATAACCAAGACATTAAAAGGTTTTATAGTAATCGCCTGAAGATGGTCATAAGGCTTGAAAACGTCAGCGATGATCAAATATATTTTCCTTGTTTCTCCTTGTTTATTTTGGTTTGGTTTGGTTTGTTTATGTCCTATTAACAGCTATGGCCATTTAAGGACGTGCCAGGTTTTGGTGGTGGAGGAAAGCCGGAGTTCCAGGAGAAAACCCACCGATCTGCAGTCAGTACCTGGCGACTGCCCCACGTAGGCCTCGAAACCCGTGACCTAGTGGTGCAGGGCTAGTGGTAGCAGAATGTCAGACACCTTAACCACTCGGCCACCACAGTGATTTTGATATTGAATATATAATATATATGATTATTATTTATTTTATTTTTTTCATTTTTGAAGAATTTCAATTGTGTTTATCTTTATTTTTGCCATGATTCAGTACTGAGGGTGTTTAGGAATTTTCTTTTTATGTTTTTGCATACCTGTTTGTTTCTCCTTAACACACCTGTGTCAGGTAAAAATACCAGATATTGATTAACACATTACAGACCCCTCCACTCCTTGTCCTTACATCAGACGGCCAGGTGTAATAAAACCGCTCTGTATCCAGACCAAACGCAGATTTCCGTATCGATTGATTTTATTTATTATAAACAGAACTCTTCTGTATTTATATCCGTGAGAGACAGGCTTGGAGTTCCGACCCACTCAATATTACCGGAACACACTTCAAAGGCTTTCAGATGTAGCAATAACACCCAAGATTTAAAAAAATAATTATGGTAGCTTGATTTATATTGTTTCAGATAATTTTTGTAAAGTACAAGAAAGCTATATAGTCTCAATAAAACTCACTGCGTAACGTCTGTGCAGGAATTTTTATTAAGCGTAGTCAGGTTTTTAGATTATACAGGTGTAATTCATACAGAAATATTCATTTAAAACAAAACGCTGAAAACTATTGCGGGGCTCTTCAGGCGATTCCGAAATATATATATTGATATATATATCTCAGAAATTGGTCTTTTGTACCTTAAAAATATGTTTTTGCATTAACTGAAATAAGTTATTTTGCATAAATGTCTCTTTTATACAAGTTCTCAAATTATAGAGGATTTCATTTTCACAGATTACTTTGTAATCCAAACAGAGTTTCTTGGTTACAATACATTTCATATTGTAAGGATTTAAAAAACTTGAAAGATAGGACATGAAGATTTTCTGGTGTGTGTTTTTCAGCTATAAATTTACTCTTAGAAAATTTCAGTTTACAAACTCTTCGGCACACAAAAACTTAAAAGTTTCAAGTAGGTCGTCATGATCTTAAAGAATACAATATGACCCGGTAGAGTCCTTATCGTCGAACAACGCGCCTCTGTATTTTCTGACAGTAGTGTCAGTAAACACTCTCAGAAAACAGATAGTTCAAAGTTCAGTCAACTTAACATACTTTTTTAATTTCAAAATTTTAGATTTTCAATCAATTTTGAAAACATAAAATAAAATAAAAATTATAGCAAAAATATGTAACAAAAATTTGATTTTTCCTTTCTGGCAGATTGTTGTGGTTATTCAAATATGAATGCTAACAAACCAGTTATATATATATATATATTATTTTTTTTAATTTTGAGGGAGGGGAGATAGAAGATAAGGAACAATGGGGGAAAAATAGGAAAATATTCTTTTATTTCAATATACTTCACTACACCGATAGTAAACACATAATCAATACATCTTTTTTTTTTTTTTTTTCAGTTGATTTTTTTCCTGCTAGTAAACTAACCATGCTTTGTATCACAGACCAACCTTCTCAAAACATATAACACCCCTTTCTTATCAAAACCGATATTTAGTACTCATTCAAGTAAATAGCCAGTGTTTAGTGTTGCAATTTAAAAATCATTTAACATGAATTATCTTTGAAACATAATACCTGCCTTATCAAAACAAATATTGACCTGTCATTCTTTATCGGTTTTCATAGTAAAGAAGAATAAAATTCAAAAATCATATATGTGAAAAGTCTTTAAAACAGTTGTGTTTTGATCAAATCAAATATTGATTTTTACTTTACATCAATTTTGGTATTCATGGTTAATGTTTTAAAAGTCGTACTTATCTTGTGTTTTTTTATTGTGAAAATATACTTTTTGAAAATGAATATTGACAGTTACTATATGGGGGTATCATTATCAAGCTTGGAGTAAATTATGTGTACGACCCATCTCCTTAACGTAAACTTACATGTTGTAATTGTTAGGTATCGTATGTAAAATTCCTTTGTACCCTACCATCGATACCTATTTATCATTAAAAAAGGTACACCTGACAAGTTTTTTTGGTCAATTTCAAAACATTCTTAAGCATTCTTTGAACTCTAAATGAAAATCAAATTTACATATGATTTTTTCATGAAATTAAAAAAAAGAATTAATACTAGGTATTCTCTTTTATGAAGAGAATAGTATTAATTGTGCTTCTAAAACCCTTTTTTTTTTTTAAATCGGTCACTTTTTTTAAATCTACCAATTAAAATCTTATAAATTTTAGAATGTAATGAAGAAATTTCTTTGCAGAACGAAGGATAGAATTGTATCTATGAATCCAAGAAGCAGGATTATATATCCTGGGAAAATGTTTTAATAGCTACAAGAATAAGGGAGCCTTGCATGACGCCACTGCCTAAATAAAATGAAAGGTTATAGAGTTCAAGGCTTACGCTGCAGAATTTTTGCAACAATTGTATAACGACTCCGTGAGATTCGTTTTGCGTGAAATTGATGTGATAGTGAAACCACTAGACATAACAACGATTAGCATCTCCTTCGAACCCAGACAGCGTAAACAACTTTTTTGATCGCTATAGTAATTTTTTAAAAAGGAACAATGGTCCAGGAATTCCAGGCTTGGCTTTAGATAAAAGTTAAAACTCATGCACAGGGCCCTTGAAAGACTTCGCTATAAATTAATTATCTTGTTGGTACGTAATTAAATTTTCGGCCCAAATTAAAACAATTTAAAACCCGTTATTTTAAGAAAAATTGTGTTTTGACTAGTGCTCTTTAAATTTGAGGAGTGGTGCAGACAGAAAACATAACGCATGAAAATTTAAATACACTTGATACAAAAATTACCAGGAAATGTGATCTACTTTCCATTTAAAACTAGCCGAGGTCGTTTGTTATATGTACAAACTATAAACTGTCTATATATGAACACTATAATTGTCTGTGTAATTGTATGGAGACATCTTTGAATGAGAAATGGGAATAGGTTACAAGACCGTTTTAATGGAAAATGAAAACTTTTATTTATAAATACAGGTTTTTATTGAACTTGCATCTTGCCTTGAAAATCTTCTCATTATGACTAGAAGCTACACAGTTTGTTTGTGTTTTACGTCCTATTAACAGCGTTGGCTATTTAACCCTTTCACCACTGTAGACCATAATGGACTCATCCTAATAAATGAGTGGTAGAGTCTACTAAAGTTACCTAGGGGTGAAAGGGTTAAGGACATGCCAGGTATGGTGGAGGAGGAAAACCGGAGTTCCCGGAGAAAACCCACCGACCTACGGCCAGTACCTGTTGACTGCCCCACGTAGGTCCCGAACCTGCGACCTAGTGGTGGAGGTCTAGTGGTAGCAGAATGTCAGATGCCTTAACCACTTGGCCACCGTGGCCCCTTAGAAGCTATTCAGGTAATGAAGGTCTGGTGTTCATTTCAACATAAATGTTGTTCTCCTATATATTTTGGACAATCTCCTTTACCTTTTATCCAGTGTGTTAATTTTCAATTCTTCTAATTATGAAAATAGGAGACACGAGCAAAAAAATCACAGTAATTGATTTTTCTCATCTCCATCAAAATCCTCCTTAAGATAGTTCAGGTTATCAAAACAAGGTGACTGAATTTCTGTTTTTATAGGTTCCGGGTACTGTACCTGATAACGACGACTTGATTTTCCTTTTCTTTCAGCATCCGGGAATAGGATACGCTCCCGATAGCAAACAGGTGACTGGAAAAAAACAAAAACAATACAGAACGTGTTCGGAGTCAACCATATTTATACTGGGAATGTCGGAAAAAACAAAAACAATACAGAATTCGATCAGAGTCGACCATATTTATATTTAGAATTCGATGGCTGGTGTCGGAGGAATGTCGGAAAAAAACAAAAACAATACAGAATTTGATCAGAGTCGACCATATTTATATTTAGAATTTGATGGCTGGTGTCGGGGGAATGTGGGAAGAAACAAAAACAATACAAAATTTGATCAGTCAACCATATTTATGCTAGAATTCAATGGCTGTTATCAGATGGAATGTCGGGGGGAAAAAAATACAGAATTTGATCAGAGTCAACCATGTTTATATTTAGAATTTGATGGCTGGTGTCGAGGGAATGTGGGAAGAAACAAAAACAATACAAAATTTGATCAGTCAACCATATTTATGCTAGAATTCAATGGCTGTTATCAGATGGAATGTCGGGGGGAAAAAAATACAGAATTTGATCAGAGTCAACCATGTTTATATTTAGAATTCAATGGCTGTTCTCGGGGGGAATGTGGGGAAAAAAAACAACAATACAGAACTTGATCAGAGTCAACCATGTTTATATTTAGAATTCGATGGCTGGTGTCAGGGGAATGTCAGAAAAAAACAAAAACAATTCAAAAGTTGATCAGTCAACCATATTTATGCTTGAATTCAATGGCTGTTATCAGAGGGAATGTCGGGGGAAAAAAACACAAAAAAATACAGAATTTTATCCGAGTCAACCATGTTTATATTTAGAATTCAATGGCTGTGGGGGGGGGGGGGGGGAATGTCGACACTCAGGCATGGCACATATACAAAGAGTTTATCTGCGCTAGACTAGGTCAATAACAAAAGTTGATATTTCCATTGAAAATTTCCTGTGACAATGCCATTTAAATGTCTCGACTGAATCGACGGGGGTTGCTGGATTATTGAAAAGCTTGGGATATACAGTGTTCAGAATTAAGTATGAACTCCGCAAATATATATATACATATTGTGCTGTGTGGGTAAAAATTCCAGTGTCTATCGACAATATCTTCCTTTGTTCGTATTCTACAGTAACAAGAGTGTTAGCTAAACTAAACAATGCAGGCCGTGGGCAGCTCATATGAGCACATTTCTCTTGCTCTAGGAAGGATATTTTTCGATTACAGACACTGCTGGATTAATCTACATGATAAATTATTCATCATATTTTTCGTCGAAGTGACAGGTACCTGAAACATGGCATGCATAAAAGCTTGACATTAAACATTAAACACAGAATTTGGACAGAGCTCTTTATGCCCTAAATATCCTAAAAGCATTTATGTAACTGCATGGCTTGATTACGATAAAAATCTTCTTATTGGCACGTAAATCCAGCAACCGAATTTCAATTACTGGATCAGGTCTACACTTTGCTGCATGGGCCATACAAAATGTAAGGCAACAGTGTTTACCATGTATTATAACATGTTTCTACGAGTGTAAAGAGTCGTAACATTCAAGGTACCATTACCACTACACATTTGACCTCCGATAAGCACATGCCCAGCAATAAGCCCGTCTCATTATTGTTCAACAGTATCTACAGATAGTGGTTGTATTATCAGTTTTATGCAGGGAATATTTCTTCATATCACCTGTCTGGGTTTAATATTTCGACTAGAATCCAAATGAGGTAACTAACATGAGTCCATATCACCTGCATAAATCTAACCCACAAGTTTCATCAAATGCAAAAAAAACCAAGAAATTTAATCAAAGTAAAATAAATCAAAGCAGCCCAATCCACAGTCCCCCACCTCCAGACAAACTTTGGTATGAGAAATGAACAAAGGGCCATAACTGTGTATGCACCTATAGTGAGACCGGCTTTCAGTGTGTGACACTTCTTGCTATCACAAGAAGTGCTCACATAGACAAATACATGTTTTTTTATCAACTTATTTCAAAAGAAAAGGTAAAACTCTCTATCATGCAGTACGTGTCCCCGGGATCCTTAATAGATTTTCTCAGGCCAGTCAACTTTAAAAAAAAAAAATGAAGATGCCAACATGTTTTTTGGATACTCAAAAACCATATTTGTTGTTAAAAAAATAGCGAATCATCATGAGTTGACAACTTACGGAGGTAAGCTACCCAGCGGCTGTCCCTCGTACTTCTTGACCATGTCCCGGCCGTAGATGTTGGACATCTTGTAGGGGTTGACCGACGCCAGGATGCTTCCCACAAACGTCTGTAGACACAGAATAAATCAGATGTTAATAAAAGATATTCTAGTAGCATCATGCATGATTTAGTTAGAAAACATCTGAAGATAAGAATGCCCCTGCTCTCAACACAAATTAGTGTTACNCCCCACCCAAAAAAAGGAAGGACGAGGGGGTGTAAAAAGATTGTTAACAAAACATATTCAATATTCCTAAAAGATCTTGTTTCATATGGGTATTCAGGGAGATATTATTGTTTTATTCTAAAATGATATCCTTTTTTTTTGGCAAAACATATGAAACTGTAATTGATTATGATACCCAGGTAAGATTGAGCTGAGAGATATTTTGCCTGGTAGGTTTTCCGCATATCTAATATTTGAACCCGGAAGAAAAAAATCTGAGCGAATCGTGCACAATGAAAGTAGCAAAGCATGAACTTTCAATGCACACTCTGGCCAATCCATTTAAATCCACCTGTGTACTTAGAAACACACTTGATTTGCACTGAGAAACGACTTTTGTTAAACAGACAGCTGTAAGGAACCATTATACAAATACATAAAGAAAATATTTTAGTCTGAAGTAGCAGACAATTTTGGATTTAACGTTGACAAATCTTGAACCTTTTTAACATGAGAGAACTACCCTGCACACATGATATTGCAAAATTTTTGCTTTTCTTTTTTAAATTAACAAAACTATGATTCTTGAACTTTTATAGCACAAGATAGCCACACCTTCAGACCCAATATTGCGAAATTCATTTTGTATGCACAAGGTTTATCAAATAACTACAAAAGATTTTTCACCTGTTCAAAAACTGTTCATGAAAATTGTGTGAATTTGAAAATTACATCATATTTCAAAATGGCTTTTTGATATTTTGAAAAGAGATGTTTTGAGCATAGATTCTATGCATTTTCAAATTTTATGAATTGACCTTTTATATGAAAAAATTCCATTCAAATAAAAACAAAAAATCTTACGTTATATTACCACATGATACATTTACCGTTAATTTAAATAAATTTGAAATGTTATTTTGTCATTATTATTTTCATTGCATTTAAAATTGTTCATTATTTAAAAAAAACAAATAAAAAAACAAATCTGGATCTACTTTGCACTGCGCAGAACGACAATACTAGGATTTCAGTACTTTGGCCTTGACCAGAGACGTCGTATAATACAGATTATACGTCTCTGCCTTGACCCAATAGACTCAGCCGATACCACATGATTGTGTTTGATTTCTTCTCAAAATATGAATATCATTTGATAAATAGAATCTTAAATTCATGTCCATGTCAAATTTATAATTTATCAAACTTGTTTGATGAAATTAACATGACATAGACACACATGTAGTATATCCTCTATTTATCTTCAATTAAAGCATTACTCTGAGATTACAGGTACGCAGAATTCTGTGACAGATCTGCAGGGTGGTGCAATGCTCTTGATTCTGTGCAGAGAAAATCTGAGGGTGCAAAGAAGATGTACAAAATCCCTTTCACCACTGTAGACCATAATGGACTCATACCGATCAATGCATGGAAGAGTTTACTAAAGTTACATAGGGGTGAAAGGGATATTCAAAGCCCTTTGATCCTTGGATTTCGAGGATGAAATAAACTGAAATGGATTTTTTATGGAACAGATTATAGATAATAGACAGACAGCTATAAAGACAGTTAGCTGACTTACATACTTGCCACTTTTTGAAATTTCCGTAGGGGAGATTGCACATGCTCTTAAAAGCATAAATAAAACACGTATACAACACCCCCAGGTAAAAAAACACTTTTAAATGGCTTCTTTTGTGCTGTTCTTTCAGATGATATCATCAGATTTTAGAAAAAAGGAATTGTTTATCAAATTTACTGGTTGAAAAAGCTCAATTTTAGTGTCCGAAATCGGGAGTTTCCCGCCAAAATAGGGAGAGTTGGTCAGCATGGACTTACAACTAGAAGTAGGTTATTCTACTCTAGAACAAAATCATCCGATTTCACTTAACATAATATTTCCGATGACGTCTTTTGACAGACGTAAATACATATTGTTTACATCAACACTAGGGATGGCGGAGCTCTATACCTATCCCCGAACACACCACCTTAAAACCATGTTACGTCCCTCTTAAACACAACAATGAAATGTGTGCCCTGGGCCATTTCGAAAAATATACAAACATCTTTATCTGAATGGCAACGACTATAAAACTTGACTTACATATATACGCTCCCTTTCATATCTAGCCTCGAGGTTGTGGAGAATTGTGCCCTCATCCAGAACACTGTTAAAAGAAATAAAAATATCTTAGGCAATTCATAAATATAATGTATGGTAAATAACAAAAGCTTTTACCACAATCTCAAAAACATAATATATGATGATATCAAAAATTATGAATGATAACCATTTATATATGGTAGTCCAGGCTCTGTGATCAAACTTTTGGAGACAGATCCAAATTTAAGTGAAAAAATGTTTTTTGATATATGGCATGTTAGGTAGTTGTTATTTTTGAAAAATTGCAATATTATATACAAATATTATATACAATATTATATACAAATATTATATTCAAATCATATTGTTATATTCAACTATTCAGCAAATTGTTATGGAGCTTAACCCTTTCACCCCTATGTAACTTTAGTAGACTCTACCATGCATTGATCTGGACGAGTCCATTATGGTCTACAGTGTTGAAAGGCTTAAAACAAGATTTTCCTTAAAATAAAAAGGGATTATTTGACCTTTGCCCTCGAGGTCAAGATCATTGTGACCTTAGATATTGACAGTGCACCGCACATTGTCTGTGGGATTGGTTTGGTTTGTTTGTGTGTTACGTCCTGTTAACAGCTATGGTCATTTAAGGACGTGCCAGGTTTTGGTGTTGGAGGAAAACTGGAGTTTCCAGGGAAAACCCACCGACCTACGCCCAGAACCATTGGTGACTGCCCCACGAAGGCGTCAAACCCACGACCCAGTGGTGGAGGGCTAGTGGGAGCAGAATGTCAGTTGCCTTAACCACTTGGCCACCGCGGCCCCATTAAGTTTCATTAAGATATCTTTTTTTTAAAGTTACGTACGGCCCAGACAAGAAATCATCATAAGAACCAGAAGAAGAACCAGTACTAAAACAAATTGTCTTCGAAGGGGACACAAAATAAAGGTCCCGTTCATATTTCATACTATATATATACATTTACATATACTACTCATATCAAAATCGTGACACATTTACCGTAATTGTCAAAAAAAACCATAAACATATCAAGCTGTGAATTTCATTATACCTTATAATATTCCATATAGATTTGTCTACGGAAAATAGGATTTCTTAGATATATCTAAGTGATATTTTCATGCTACACACACTGTATTTATGATATATCAAAACTGTCTTCGATCCATGTTAAACATTTATGTATTCAAATATATTCACTTAATGTTATCAAATAAATCCACTTACGACCCTAGACTGCATTCAGGTAGCCCGATAAAGTTTGAAAAGATTCAATTTGTTCAAACCCGTCTATATAAAGAAATATATAAACTTAATACCAAACTTCATTCAATAATCTTTTCAATAGGAATTTAGGTCAAAGGTCAATACTGTTTATGAAATAGACGCAAGATTGTTAGATTATACTGTTTACTTGGTTTAACAAAAAGATATGTGCACACTATTTTATTTACTACTGCAGGAATTCTAGTAAATTACTTAAAACTTATATCAATTCTCAAGAATTTCACACTTTGTATGTAATTGACAAGAACCTAATTACATAAAAAAAAAAGTAGGCCAGATTTTGTAATTTTGTCCGCACCATTGAAGCATTTTTCGCAAACTCTTCACAAAAGAGAAATTCAATCAGATTTCCTTTATTTTTCACAAAGGAACATATTTTGTGACGATCGGAATGTTCAAGACGTCATTAAATAGTGATACATTACATGACAGCAAAGGTTTCTAAAGCTATCTAACATAAGTATTATAGATACGAAAAGCAATCTGTCTTTTTTGATGTTCGGTGAATTACCTACAAAACATTAGGCGTGCTTTCACGTAGGACACACAAGAAAAGATGACAAGCTATCTTGCCACCTCAGGTATATAACTCTCGAATTGAACAATTAAAATCAAGATCTAACGAGATTTTGAATGAAAGTGGTTTAGATGTGTACTTTCATGTATAACTCTCGGACTTGAACAATTAAAATCAAGATCTAACGCAATTTTGAATGAAGGTGATTAAGATGTGTTAGTCAGGTATAACTCTCGGACGTGAACAATTAAAATAAAGATCCAACGCGATTTTGAAAGAATAATAATGACAGCACATATGTATTTTATAACCTACGCACTCACACCTGAACAAAGGCGACACGCCCCAGTAATAAGAGAAAACATAGCAAATGCGCAATTAATAACAAAATGGCCGCCCATTAGTCACGGAAATGTCCTACCAAACTTCTATTGAAATCTGCAATTCAAGTGCAAACAGCTATTACACGAAACTAAAAAAGTCTAGTACACATGGACTTCTTACAATAATTTGACAAACCATACTGTGAACAAAGTAATTAGCTTATCTAACTAAATAGAAATTATTATTTTAAGCTTAACCCTTTCACCACTGTAGACCATAATGGACTCATCCATATCAATGCATGGTAGAGTCTACTTAAGTTATATAGGGGTGAAAGGGTTAATAAATAATAAATCAACAAACAGCAAATTCATCAGCGCTATTTTTGAAAATTAATCACTACAAGTAAAAATTCTGACTGAAAATGTTTGAATATTAATTAAATATTATTATCTGAAAACTTTCTAATAAGAAAAGGGTCCTTTTTCCGGTTTTTTTATTTTTAATACTGATGTCATAAGCTAACAATTCTTAGAGAAACTAATAATTAGATTAGTTTGTGTTTTTGAGTGAGTTCTAATAACCATTTTACGTCATGGTTTTTCTCATTGTTCAGTCATTCGTGTCAGCACAAACAGATTTCTGTAATCAAAACCATGGTGTCAGATTTCACATCCTTAAAATAAAAGTAATACAGAATTACTTCCTAACAATTTCAGCTAATTTTCTAATCACTGAACCATATATTATGCAGTTTCTTAAAAAATGAAAACTGATAACATATTCAGATTTGAATTTTAAAAATGTTCTGTCATTGTTTCCTGTTGAAATAATTTTGCAAAAATACCGTAAATGATGTAAAAGATCCACTGTCTGTAGTACATGGACAACAATTCATTGTATTTTTACCACAGTTTCCATACAATTGTAGCGGAACTGGACTGGGTCGGTCATCGGCGACCAGGTAGCTCTATTGGTAGAGCATCCATCTAGAGTTTGTAGTTTGAACCCTGGTCTGGGCATGAATTTCTCTTTTCTAGGTATGAAAATGGTGCATGTGACCAACCCTTGTTTCAAGAATCGGGTGTATGCTTGGCAGGGGGAAACCGAACCTGGGTTGTAAATATTTTTGTCATTGGGGTTCACGACTAAGAAAATGAAGGGAAGAATGTAGCGAACTGGACTGGGTCGACCGTCCACAACCGCCGAGTTCAATCGGTAGAGTGTCCATCTAGAGTTCAAAGGGTCCCATGTTCGAACCCCCGACTGGCAGTGCATTTTCCCGCTCCTACTACATGTAAATGATGTAAAAGATCTATAAGTGTTGCTTGAACACTTGATCTAACTTTTTCTTTTGAGAACTAGAATTTTTTTGTAAAAGATATTTACTCTTACTCCAACTTTGATGAAAAACGAGCTAAATGCAAAGCCTATAATAAAAGCCAGTCAAGTGGACACCTATACAGGTCACAGTGACCTACATTAGATATATTTGTGTAGCACTCAAAGTTTATACACAAATGAAGTTTGAATTCTAGTATTTTAAATAATGGAGCTTACTGCAACGACTAAAAAAAAAAAACATTTTAAAAATGGCAGACAGAAATGCAAACATTCTAACATTTAATGTTTAGTAATTCATACCTTCGTTGGTGAACAAAGGCTAAACTCCTAGTACTATACAATAATATTAGGCATTTGCAGAATGAATCTATTCAATGTCACTGTCTTAGGCCTATCTCGTAAGCTCTGAATTAACAAATGTTAGCAAGGACAGACAGAAAAAGCAAACATCTAACAATCCTATCACAATTTTGCAGGTGCATATACATAATTGAAGGGGTTGCTTATCGCGATGAGCACAGTAATGCATTCCAACCACACCTGCATGGGTATGGCGGATTTGTATGTTGTTCACATAAATCACATAAATCACCTACAGAAATCCTTTGATAAAATTTACAAACTTTTAAAACCGAAGTGACACCATGTTGTAATTCAAATTACAAAAAAAAGTCATTGATGTTCCTAGATCCTGAACAGAATATATAAAATAACCATTCAAAATAAAAGTTTACAGAAGAAATTTGAAAATATATAATTATTGTCTTTGCATATCTATCATTCAAATTTCAATTGGAGTCAAACAAAAGTATATTGTCATTAAAGTTAATTTTTCTCCTCCTTGATAATTAGAAAGGTGTGCTAATTTTCTCATAAAAATATCTGTACACCTGGAACATTTGAACTCCATAACTAACCTTTGACCTCTAAAGTCAACAATAGGTTTATTCAGGTCAATGGGCATGAATGCTTTTGAATTTAGCTCACCTTCATGATAATTCTGCTTGTATTTTTTTTTACTTTTTTGAGAGGAAAAACCTTTCTTTTTTTTTTACTATTTTCTATTTACTATAAGATATATTTCATCAGAGGTGTCTATCACAAACTCAAACATGGTGCATTTTCAGACATTTGACACAAGAAATGTTCATTCCTCCACTTCAAAAATTCAAGCTTCATTCAATGAGTTCAAAAAGCACCGACTCACGAAAAAAAGACTCCTGAAAATGGGATAACTTGCAATATGCATCAACTTGTATTTTGCGATTGTGCTTAAAAGAGCACCTGAGGATTAAATTGTGTAAGAAACATATTTTATTTTACTAGTTAATTAATATTGGTGCGATATATATCTCCTTACAAAAGAATGGAAAAAGCAACTACCTGGTGCAACATTCAAGACTATAGCGGCCTCAATTCAACTTTGCATCAGAGTTTGGCCAAATTTGTATCTTGTCCCGAAGATAAAAGTAAAGATTTCAGAGCTGTTGTGGTGTAGAGTGTTCCTTTTTCTTCGTAATGTTTTATGCGGAATACAGACATTGAATCTCGTTTACTTCGCTACGTTTGATAAGTAAGGACACACTACTGAATCTATCTATGGTTACGTTTAGGAACGTTTTACCACAATTTTCTACATCAGGAGTGTTATCATCATTTTTTCTTATTTTTAATTTTTTATATCAATAATGTGTGCATTAAACTGCAATGAGGATTTCGGTACAGAGACATCGAATAAACATTCTAACATCCTGTCTTCGTTCACATTAACCTTTTCGGGACATAAGCACATTCCAAAACGTTTACAAGATCTGATGAAGTAAATGTTTATATCTTATGCAACACTTAAACTGTCAGGAATCCAAATCAGAACCTTGCCAGGTTTTTTTCCGTTTTAAAACATCAAGTTGACACATTCTCCTGTGTCTGGGAACGCATGAGTTTAAATGATTTGTATACAAGACTTACACGCACTTAAACTGTTGGAGCAGGTCCACACGCTTTAACAACAATATCGTGTAAATGATACGTGCGTACCTGCGTGACTGTATAAAAAACATTTGAACGTGTTGCGCGGCATGTTTACAGGAAATGTTCTGACAGAAATCTGTTGCTCATATCTCCGTCCGTGATTTGTCTGTATGGGAAACAATAAATATTCTCCTGACAATGGTTTTGTTTTGTGAGAACATCACTGTCATTTAACCATGATAAGACTTTGTTTGATATGTTTGAGATAGGGCGCTATATCAAATGTTGCATATTATTATTTATTTATTATTTTATATTAGAAGGATATATTTTCAAATCTTTAAGCTTTCTCTGTACATAAAGTCAATGTTTAAAATAAGCTCAGTGCCACTTTTTACCCCCTAAAAGCCCTACTGTCAGGGAATGGGGAAAGTCAGGCAATCAACTATAAACCCCATTCACTTTATTTGTTCAGATATGCAACTGGAGTAAATTGCTAGAGACCCGAGTTCAATCGGTACTCGGAGCAAATAACTTCAGTCTGGAGGGTCATGGGTCTAAATTTAAAGAGAGTGGTCGATTTCAGTTGTTTAAACCCCAAAGTTTGTCTATTTCCTTTGTTTAAACCCCGGAATCTGACCTATTTGAGCTGTTTCGTACATACCCAGAGTGTGGTCTATTTAAAAAAGTTTTCCTCAAGTGTGGCCTATAGTTCCATTGTTTAAACCTCCTAATCTGACCTATTTCCATTGTTTAACTATATTCACCTCTGAAATTTCATAATGAACTATTCCAACCTTTGAATTGGAAGAGTTCAAATTTGTCTTCAAGGGTGAATGAGTTAATCCCCATATTGTAGCTATATTGCAGTAGTTTTCCCAGCCCCTTAGTGCAGCCTATTGCAGTATTTTTTTCCAAGCCCTATCATCGGAAATGTGGCTTTGTGATTTTTTGTTTTTTATACCAGCCCCAGAGTGCAGCCTATTGCAGTAGTTTATTCCAGGTGTTGAAATTAATTATCCCCAGTTTAATATTTCAGTTGTCTTATGCTATAGAAGTCTGGTGGTCTGTTGCAGGTGTTTTGTCCTAGCTATTATCATGTTCCGACAGAAGTTATGTCCTGCGAATATATTACAGTGTCGCAGAAACACGATTGAGTGACACATGACAATATAGGTCGTACCTATAACGCTACCTTAGTCACATAAAACCCACACCTGTACGCGTGCACCTTGTTAGGGACACTGACCATTCAACAGGTACGGTCAGTCTGACCATAATGGACAATTCATGTTTAGGTTGATGTCCACACACCAAAGGAACTGACCACTGTACCTAGTACTGACACATATTGTCCTGAACTGGACAATAAAGTGACCATAATGGAAGCTCTATCATGTGCTGGCATTAATCATCCTTAAAAGTTGTTTTTTTGAAATTAGCATTTTTGTTGTCAAATGAACCAATTCAAAAGACTGTTTTAAGCCTTATCTTAACCTGGTGTCTGTAGCAAAAAACAAATTTTACAGTCAGTTGTCTCCTATACAGAAGGACACCAGTCAGGCATTGGGTTACTTCCCACCAAAGTGATACCTATTTGTACATCTAGGCAGACTAAAACAATCTTCTCCTATAAGGAAGGACACCTGTCAGGTTTTGGGTTACTTCCCACCAAAGTGATACCCATTTGTACAGCTAGGTTGACTAAAACAATCTTCTTCTATAAGGAAGGACACCGGTTAGGCATGGGGTTACTTCCCACCAAAGTGATATTCTTTTGTACAGCTAGGTAGACAGAAACAATCAGTATCATACATGTAACGTCTAAAAGCACTGAACACCAATAAGCTTAAACTCATTCCTAAAATTTTGAGTGAAATTATTTTGTCTTTTGGTCTGTAAACAAATTTACAACAAACTTTGAGATATTATTATCATATTTAAAAACTCTTTTTTTTTTAAATTATTTCAAAAATTATTTCAGATTTGCTTTAAAAGTTAAAGATTTAACCCTTTCACCCCTATGCAGCTTTTGTAAACTCTACCATGCATTGATCTGGTTGAGTCCATTATGGTCTACAGTGGTGAAAGGGTTATTATAAGTTCCAGCAAATTTCTTTTAAATCTCCCAGGCTTGGGATATAGCCATTTCAAAGCTGACATTATCTAAATGGGTAGTCCTTATTTTCTCCGTATTATATAAGACACACAATGGTTAGCCACTGGTAAATGTCCTACGTCTTTAAACTGACCATAAAATCGATCAAACTGGACACAGAGATATTAAAGGGTGGTGACCTTACATGCCAAAACCCAGTATGAAACACACTATACATTCCTATATCTGATCCCTGCCACCAGATTGTGGTCAGGTAATACCGCATTTTCCCTTCGATAACCTCGCACTATTGATCTGGCCCCACACCCATATTTCTTAGCATTTAAAAAAAAAATTGCTGTAATGTGTTAAAATAGACATTTCTTCATTGTAAATTCAAGATCAATTTTGGAACAAACCCAGAGAATCCATTTCTTTACCCGATCTAAAGATTCTCCGGTCTTATCTGCGGTAGACATTAGATACCAGGCCTAGATTACACTAATCCCGACTACTTAGACCATTCCTTGGACTTCCTCTGAAATTCTTAAGACCTTCTGGCCAAGAAACCTTCCCTGGATAGTCGTATTATGGTAATAACAGCACCAGTCCATATGTTGTGGTTTTACATTAAAATGAATTCTCCGTAATTTACGATTCAAATAAACATTTTCCCTACACAGCACACGAGTTATACAATGAAAGATATGATTGCTTACAATCAAAACCCTGCACAATAAAAAAAAAAAACAAGCCATTCAGGTTGATATGTCTCACCTATGCCCCATTTTGACCATCTATGCAAATATATCAGAGAAACTAACTTAGACGCAAAAACGTAATGTTGATGGAGATGCTGACAAAGTCAATGGACCATGAAATGTAGGTCACATCCAGAATTTGATGCATGGGTTGAAATGTTCTACCTTAGATGCATCTATGGTCCAAGTTTGGTTGATCTAGCACTTTCAGTGAAACTAACTTAAAAGCAAAAACTTAATGTTGACGCCACCGTTGCCGGGAGACCAACACCATAATTATAGTTAGTCTCGCTTCCACTTCGTAGTGGTGAGACAAAAATGATGAATAAATATACAAGAATACCACAGAAAATAGAATCATAAGAAACAAATTGTTTACCTGAGGTTAATCATATCCTCCACACCCTTCTCATTTTGTTCGTCCTCCATCTTGGTTTCTGGTTTTCCAAGCAACTCAGTCTACAAAGATAAGATTTATTTATTTATATCATTCTACCCAAGGAACAGCATTGCTTGTTTTTCATAAGTTTGAAAATTAAATAAAAAAACATGTTGTCTTAAGGATATGTGTTACATGTATATTACTTTAATACAAGAACCTCTATTTCAAAAGAAATCTAAAAAGTGAAAATAACGTCTTCATAAAGAAATAATAAAACGAAATCACTATCTAATTTTGTGATCCATTTACTTACTAATACTTCCCCATGGTTAATTCATACTTTCAATAATTTTCTTAATTTTTTTATTTCTCTCCCATTTTTATTTTTTTTGTTTGTATTCTTTGATTTTCACATAAAGGGTTTTCTTTTTAAAAGTAGGAATTGCAGAGGCGAAGGAAAGAGCTGAAATACAGCAAAATTCAATTTGTTTGAAAAATACGGTATACTTGAGACAAGTTCATCTGAACTAAACAAAGAGGATTTACGCTGAAATCCATAAAATATCACACCTTCTGGGATGAAACAGACAATCGATCCCTCTTTATTTCGAGAATTATTCAAACTTACCAAACATTTTCAGACACAGATAAACCGTACTGCCAGCACTTGGTTATTAAATTGAAATGATATTCCATCAACAATGTTTGTATCAATAATTTGAAGAAAGTTTTCAAAAAATAAGACAATTTGACATATCTGCTGGAAGGGAAACTGACACAAAAATGTCCGCCCATAAATGGCTTCTAACATCATAGCGACACAGTTTGGTTATATGTCTTATGTTTAATGTGCACTTTTTAATGTTTTGTTAAAACTTAAAAGGTAAACAAAGATTGATTAATTAAATGCTGCGCTTCTATTGACGTGGAATTTAATTTATGTATCATGCACAAATTTCTGCCCGTCAATTTATGATGCAACATTTTCATTATTTATGACATCAATTCACAATAATGGCAAAAAATGATGACGTTTTTTCGTTGCTTTAATTATCTTAATTTTGTTTTTGTTTTTTCAAATTGTGTCAGTTTACGTTATATGGTGACGCAAGTGAGGAAAAACAATCTTTAAATCCTCCCCATTACATACACTGTCAAACCTGTATAAAGGGACCACCCATGGGAAAGTAAATAAAACGTGGTCTCTTAGTACAGGTTTAGATTGCAAAGAAATCACCAATTGAGATAATTAAAAGTGGTGTCTTAATGGAAGTGGTCCCATGAGCAGGTTTATCTGTATGATAAATATGAGATTTAGCATTATATATATACTTCCTTAAATGTAGGTACTAATCAATACAGCTAGGTAGACTGTTCTCAATAAAAGTGAAAGTAAACATCTCACAGACGAGAAGAGATTGATTGTGATGCACGATTTCTGAGGATTAATGACTAATTAACACAGATATGAAAAAGAATAACATAGAATAACACTGACTTTAATATACCTACAGCATCTCAATAAATGTTTTACAATGTGACAGCTGTTTGTGTTAGTGGCCCAGTGATCATGGTACGGGGCGAGCTTCGTCCAACACAATAGCGTGACAAATGGACAGTTGACATTTGATGACAGTAACTATACAGCATCAACAACAGCAAACTTATAATTTACGGCCAAAACATTAATTAATTTCCATACCAGTTCGGTAAGAATGGACATTTACGAGGCTACAGTTATGGCCCTTTCAAAGACAGGCGGTTGTGTTGAAAAGGTCAGAGGTTGAATTTTCATTCATAATCTTGGATTGACGGACTGATGTTTAAAAAACTTGGGAGTTGAATTATTGGATTACGAGTTTGGAAATGAATAAAACATGTGTATATTCAGTGTGGAATTGTTGAAAAGCATCAAGCAATTTTGCCCCGAGGCATCTTTTTTAAACAGTTAAACGAGTGTTTGTGCCGACAATTTGAATTGCATGAGCGTAAATATTTACAAACACGATGATTTAAGTCTGAACCGGTGATCTTTAATGTAGATTGAGTGACATTAGCCATATGGACAGCTGAGTTTTAACACCGTCAATTCATACGTAAACTGGCACATTCTTAAAGAACGTGAAACAAACTTTAGTCTTCAGACGTTGAAATATATACTAACACGAACGCTGGCGTGTTACCATCAAATCATCAGGCCCCCTTTTTCTGTCAACGACCATGACGCTTTTGTACACTCAACCGGGTACCGAATACCTTCCACAGGTAGATTTTGATATTTTACTTTGTAGGTATTGAGGAAAAGACGACCTGTTCAGACTCTCTCATCAGTTCCAAATGATTAACCAGCCAATAAGGTATCCGTAAGGCAATTCTTCCTTAAACGGCACAAACACAATTGATGTTCGTTTCGCCTGTAGAGATTGTAGAAAAATATGTTTGAAGATTTTATCTCGTTCCCAGTGCCCCTTAAGCAATTTTTCTTGTGTCACAGCAAAAAATGTTTTAAGTGTGAGTTTTACCTCCATAAAATTTACTGCATTCTTTCCGCAATAAACATTTTTTCTGTTAAAACAAGAATGTGGATTTAAAAGCTTTTAAGGACCTTAACTACCTTACACTGCCATGCACCTCCATTCCTAAAGAGCTCTAAACAGAGAAAACTTTCAATTGTCTATTTGTGAATGTATATTTGAGCTATTAATGATTATATGAGAACACATTTGTAAGGTATACTGGCATTAAAGGAACTTAAAGTTTTATGATAACAAAAAACATTTTGTTCAGAGAAGTATTTTTAGGGGAAATAACTCTTACATAAACTACAGTTTTACTACATAGAGTAGCATATAAAGTTAAGTCTTATTACACAGGTATACTGTAAAATGTAGCATATAACCTTACCTCAAACACAACAGGTACAATATGTAAGGTAGCATATACCCTTTACTCTAACACAAATAACAGGTATAATGTGTAAGGTAGCATATACCCTTAACTCTAACACAAATAACAGGTATAATGTGTAAGGTAGGATATAACCTTAATGCTAACACAAATCACAGATATAATGTGTAAGGTAGGATATAACCTTAATGCAAACACAAATCACAGATATAATGTGTAAGATAGCATATATATAACCTTAATGCTAACACAAATCTCAGATATAATGTGTAAGGTAGTATATAACCTTAACTCTAACACAAATCACAGTTATAATGTGTAAGGTAGTATACAACCTTAACTCTAACACAAATCACAGATATAATGTGTAAGATAGCATATATATAACCTTAATGCTAACACAAATCACAGATATAATGTGTAAGGTAGCATATAACCTTAACTCTAACACAAATCACAGATATAATGTGTAAGGTAGTATACAACCTTAACTCTAACACAAATCACAGGTATAATGTGTAGGTAGCATATAACCTTAACTCTAACATACAGAATCAGATTTTTAAAGTGTTAAGTAGTGCGTATGACCTTTAGCAGGAAAACTCTTTAAGCAATACACCAGATATGGTAGTGTGTCTGCAAAGTCAGATTTCTGAAGACAGACAAACCATCTTTTTCACACATAGGATACTAAAGGATGTCATGAGGTCAAATGATAAGAGCCAGCTAGGTTTCGATCAAAAGGAAATCGAAAGTTTTGTCTATAATAAACAGGTTTCCTGATAACACAGGTTACAATGATATCTAGATCTATTATGGTCTGGTTTATACAGGTTTTCACATTATACTGTACAAATGTTTCACAATAGATGGTCAGAATGCAGAGGTTCCTGCTGGAAAGATTTACCTTACTAGCCAAAATATGAGCATTTCACATGGTATATATGTAAAGAAGTTTCCCCTTAAGCTTATTTAAATATCCACTTGCAACAAGTCCTCTGAGGTCTAGACCACCTGTCAGCAGTCAAACCCAAAACATAATGGTAAAATGTAGGTCCGAGTCTCCAGAGTTCAAAGGTCAACTCGTGTTGGACCTCTAAACAGCTATAGGGCCTATAGTTTTCAAACACTGTATCACAATAAATAAGTGCATTGTACATACTCTTCAAAAAATATAAAAATGGGTGTGTGTTAAAAAACCTTTCTATCAGATATAACTGATTATTATGAAGATTCATCAACTTCTGGTGACTTTTGAATAATAAAATCCCTCATCCCATAACATCCCCTACAAATTGCAGAAAGACAACATTTTGACTGATATCAATTTAAAATTCTACACTTCATTATCCTCCATCCAAACACAGATTCCCTGACAAATCCCAAGTATCACCCTTCTTTTCAACCTTCCATTTTGATGAACAACTGAAATCGTCACCTCCATCGTAACCCCGAACACTTAACCCTCTTTTGATTGTTATCAACATAACTTTTTTACCTATCCTCCCTTTCCCTACACCAAACATCTAACCAATATACATATCCATTATCAATAATTTAATCTACCGTAATTATCCCAGCCCAAATATCTAACCCCCTACACACACCCCATCCTTATAAGTATCTGTTTACCTTTTCTTTTACCCTCAATAGCCCCATACAAACCCGTTTTGATAGAAATGTTTGTCCCCAAACCCTACCCTCCTCAAACATATCAATTAACCTATTCAACATTTTTGGTTCAACCTTAGAAATATTTCTACTTTTCTTCACATCACCTCTCAGCCCTAAAATACATAAATCACAACTAACTATCATTTGTCCATATCAGTTGCTTTGATTTTCTTCTCCATTCCCGCTGCTCAAACCCCCAAAACACCATGCAAACCCCTTACTACAAACCCTTGAGACCCATTTCAATAACTAATTCTTCACATTTTCTCTAACTCCTGAACCTGTAATATTTCCAATTTAACCTTTTCAATAATCACTTCATCCCTCCCTCACTGCCTTGCACATTAATATTACCGTAAATATACAAATAAATGTAACTGTTTTCTAATTAAGATTAATTACATTAAATGACATAATTAATATTAATTTTATAAAAAAAAATAAAAAAAATAGAGATTCCTATAGAAATTTTACAAGTAATTTCAAGTTTTAGAAAAATTCCTTTTGAAAATGACATAATTAACATTAATTTTATAAAAAAGATATATCAAGTTTTAGAAAAATTCCTTTTGAAAATATGTGTAAAAGCATTATTCATTAAAATGCTACATTAATTGTTAAAATTAACAGACATTCTAAGTGGAAATGTCCCCATTAAATTGATATTTATATACTTAAAACACACACATATACACACACAGAGCACACTTCTCGCGTACATACCTGTACACAATCTACCTGTAAATACCTGTCCGATACCTAATCTCCTTATCATCCTGTAATTATTCTGCATAATCTCCCGACAAAAGCCTTATGCAGCTTTTCATTGACATTAAAACTCGGACTTCCCTTACGACAGGTTCGTCTAACGATAGGCCAATACTTGAACCACTATTGATATTTTCAATTGCTAAGGTTGTAATTTTCTTGACCCGATAAGAAAATAGATTACATTCATTACCGTACAAATTACTCAATAGCGTTTTGAAACTCGACTATAGTTTGTGTAGTGCAAGCTTCTTTTTTAAATGCATAGAACATAAATATCCCCCCAACACTGAAAAAACAACTAAATTATTGTATTTTTGTAATAAACAAATACAAACCATTGATTTTCACTTTGTGCTTATATTACGTTGAAGAGTATAAATTTCATAATTGATCCTACATATGTACATTAAGAAACATGATACACCAATGATTTCAAATTTGAGGTATTTATTATTATTATCGGAGGAAATGAAATTATAGGGAGATTTTATTTATGTGTTTAATAGCTATTGACACGTTTAACAATACACAGTTGCAATCAACAATAAGCAATTCAATGTTAAGCCTTTCACCACTGTACCCCATAATGGACTCATCCAGATCAATACATGGTAGAGTTTACTAAAGTTGCATAGGGGTGAAAGGGTAAAGGATTCCCACACTACTGCCAAAATCAGTAATCATTAATCGGAAACTTTTACTTTTTGTTCTGAGAGTACAAATATAAGAACCCTGGTTTGAACCCTTGACCTCTGATCAAAATAGTTGTTTAAACAAAACACCTCTGCAGACTAACTCCCTGACAGCCGTTTTTTGTGTCGACTTAACCTTTCTTTTTGTTATCAATTGCAAGTCATAATTGGAAGATTAGATAGGCTTTTGGAACTTATGGCATGGAATATTTCTCTTTTATGTGTATGTGCATGTGTTTCCCTTCCCTTGGAAAATAGTCCTAGTTTCAGGGAACCGGAAACTTGCTATATCCCTCAAGCTTACACTAAAAAAGCCTTATTCACCAGAAATCGAGTTATTTCAAACAGTTAACGCGATGTACCTGTCAAAAAGTTCACGACACCTGTGTGTAATTGGACAACATCAAAGAACTTTAAGTGGCCAAATTTCAACAAATTATGCTGTAAAATTATTTTTCTCCTTCCATATCCAATATCATATTTGCTGAACAATTTCCATCTTATCATGCAAATTGCTGATATTTTGGTAATATTGCCATATCTGATTGTATTTTTATTGCGACGGCAGAGATAAAACTGTCAATTACTCGCATAACATCTATGTTACGCGTCCGTGTAACACAACCTATACTTTTCATTCCGTTTAACCTAATAAAAAGTGTACCACGGAATATATAGACCTACATTATGTCCGTGTTTTGAAGTGGTAAACTTACGTTACAAGAAAAAATCTTTCTGATATATACATATAATAATGCTATACATTTCTACTTTTATGTCTGTATATTGGCGTTATAAAACAATATTCTGATATTTTACCGAGTTCTTTCACAACTATACCTCTGAATATCCTCTGGCCCTGCCACCGAGTTACGAACATTTTGACAGTTTTATATCCGGTAAATATCTATTGATTTGCCATTATATAGTGATTGTACAACGCTATAGGTGATCGCTAATAAATCACCTCCGTAGCTGAAAACATTTCTCTCTCACTTCCCACAGCGTCAATATCTGTAACAAATCGGACACCTGTTATTCCCTTCAACTTCGCAAATTAATGTTCAAACATCCTTGAAAACAAAAAATTTGCAACTCTCTGAATCACATCTGTTTGAAATAAACAGTTGCAAATATCGTTCATAATTTGCACTATATATATACAAATTATTTGAACATCATTAACATGCAATCAGATATTATATATACCTGATCTATCTTAAAGCAAAATTTAGATCCTCTGTTACTGTATTTATCCAGCAGTAAGCCCATGCCTGGTAATAAGCCCATGCCTGGTAATAAGCCCACCCATATTTATTGCAACTCAGTAGAAATGCTTCCAAAAACTATTGCATTGTCTTGCATACAGTAGGTCAGACAAAGTGACCCTTAATCAAAAGTTCTTTTTTTCTCAAAAAGAAACAGTTTGGGTTGTGATTATCGGGTTCAAAACACTGTCCCGTAATAATCTCCCTAACCATGTTTACCGTAAAAACCCATGTAATTTGCGCACTTTTTTTCAGAAATTTAATACCCAAAGTGGGGGGTGCGTAAAATACACAGGTATAGAAAATTTCAAGTTTTTTTCAGGAAAAGATCGACGATTCTGAGAGACCGCCATCTTGGATTATCTCCCTTGGTACATGGAACTCTAAGACAAATGACGATCAACAAATTTATTTATGTCAAACATTAATAAAAGATACATTTGATACATAATGTGTTGTTACCTGAGCTTATGTGAAAAGTATTATTAAATAGGTAACCATTAACAAAGAAAGTTTAGCCAAATTCCTATGCCAGAGAATCGCCAATCAGTTGAGTAGAAATGTCAACAAATGCTATCTCGTTGTTCATTATTAACTTGTTCACCCCAAAGACGCATTTGAACTCTTCCAATTCAAAGGTTGGAATAGTGCATTATGAAATTTCAGGGGTGAATGAGTTAAGCCCACCCTTACTTTGAGTCAAGAGATTATGTGTTGGCCTCCTGGGCTTTTTGCAGGATAAATATTGTAATTAAAGGTGGAGGTGTAATTATTAGGTCAAATACAACATTCATTTTTGTGATCAATAAACACATGGCATGGTGATACTTACCTCTGTACAGTGTATATTCACTCAGAAACAACGTAAACCAGAAGTACATCCCTGGAAATTATTTTCTGCTTTTTCTGTCATTTTGACAAGGAATTTGAAGGTCACATCTTCAAAACTGAAAAAAACAAAACCTCAAATTAAAATTTGCTTCCATCAAATCACTATTTTGAATTGCCTTTAACTGAATTCTGATTTTTTTTTTTTGTCTATTTCAACAAGAATTCATTACATGTAAAGAATAAATAAACATTTCATTCAAGTGAATGCACATTAACCCCTCCCCTCCTCCCCAAAATCCTGCCCCAATCAAACCCCCTTACCCAACTTCTTGCACCATGAACAACCATAAAGGAAGTGAATATTGTATTCTAGGTCAAATTTAATTAAATTATTATAATTTTTTAATTAAATTTTTCACATGCAAATACCAAAGATGATATTACAATACAATAACAAACTTCAATCAACTGCAGAAATGTAAATCACAGAAATGAGGAAAATGATATTGTGTCGGTAAATATGCAAATTATTGGGTTTTTTTTTATTATAATGTTTGGCAAGACCTGGCACAAGGCCAAGCGTGCTAGAAAGTACCAATAGCATGACCAAGCAAACGACTAAAAAGGCAGAGTAAGCACTACTAGGCTGAATTCATCCTTTACTTAAATTACCCTTAACCTGATCATAATGTATCTTTAACTTCCATAACATTGCTTCATGTTCCTTTTCATTCAGACCTACATAATGTTAAAAAAAGTGAACACATCCCATTCCCATTTCAATACTCAGATTCTGCTAAGAGTATAAGAACAATTCAGAAAATTATGAATTTTAAGCTTTGTATTTTCTCTTGCAAAGATATAATCATAAAATAAGTTTTCTAACAAGAAAATAATTACTGATTTGTCAATCTACACAGCTGTACCAATGAGAAACTAAACATGTTGGGAAGTACTTTTATTGATAGACTGGTGTTCCTATAGGAGGAATTGTGATGTAAATGCATGGCTTCATGATGATTTGCTAAATATATATCACAGAAACCCAATAAAATCTCTTAAAAAAGCCAGAATACAGATTAAAGCTGTGCATGCTCTATGGAACCCAAATATATAATATCTGGCTCTATGCATGGGTAACCCAAATACAGGTTATGGTAAGCTTTGCAGGCCTGATGGAAACCCAATCAAACATTTGGATCAATGGGCAACATGGGCAACCAAGATATGGGTTAAAGTGAGCTGTGCACGCCCTTTGTGAACTCAGTATAACATCTAGCTGGCTCTATGGGCAACCTAGGAAACCATATTGCAGGTTATAGTAGGCTGTGTAGTCTCAATATAAACTCAATGTGATATGTTTCACCATTGCCCTCTTAGGAAACCAAAATACAGGTTACATTGAGCCATGCAGTATTTTTTTAGAAACACAATTAATATATAACATTTGGCTCTATGGGTCACTTATTAGGGAATAATGGGTAAATGTAATACAGTAAGCCCAGGTTCTATGGGAAATCTGTTAATTTACCATAATCATTGACCTTATAATTTGACTGCTTCAATACCTATGTTTTGATTTTTTTCGCTAATTTAACCATATTTCACTCCGGATCAAAGCACGTTTCCTGAAGGCGTAATTTTCCAAAACTCTTAACACTGCAGCATGCAATTACAACATCATACAGTAACAATAAATAGAAGCATGTTTAGAGCATGTCAAATTTCTATGATGTTTACAGCAAGACATTACCTGCTTTCAAAAACAACAGGAAAAGCAAACAATTGTTTTCATTGCAGTTAAGATTTTCACCTCATTACGATAATAAGCAAATATGATGAAGAAAAAGATGAGCAAGATATATCTAAAAGGCCAAATTCCCCCTGCCATGAACAGGTCAAAGGTGACAAAGAAAAATCCAGTTTCACTAAGACTCAATTCATGCAAGTACCTGAAGAAGATTTGGAGCTCTTCAGTGATAGGGGAGGATTTTGGAACTCTTCAATGAACACAAATTAAAGGAGCTCGGATAATGCAATCTATATATGGCCAGTAGACCAAAGAATGACGTTTAGTTTACAAAAGTTTTGTGCATGTCATCTCGATATACACAAGTCAGGCCAAAATCAAAAGTAGGGTATCTATGAATACTTCTAAAATCCGTTTGTTGTGTCCTAACTGCTTTGCCAATCCAAACAATTTAAAAAAAAACAAAAAAAAAACATGTCTCCTCTGTCAAACATTTGAAAAATTTTTCTCCTTGAAACACAAGCATAAAACCTTAAATGCTGAAATTTATAAACAACATTTTTTTCAGTTTTCAAGTGTTCCCGAACTCTAGTTCGCAATTTGTCACAACTTTCTCAACCTCTTATCTTTCAGGTTTGTTATTAACGATATATTTAAAAACATTTTTTTAGCAGTGAAATGTTTCCGAAATCTACCCATGTGATTTTGTTTCTAACTTTGTCTTTCAGGTACGGTATTTTACCGGCAATAAGCCCCCCCACCCTACTGAGAAAAAAGATGGGCCAAAAGTGTGTGTGTGTGGGGGGGGGGGGCTTAATTGCGAGCAACCCCCCTGTTCACATAATTTCAACATGGTCAGCCGTCTTGGATTTTATCTCACCTCTACTGTTGAGTGTCCCGTAAATATTTCAACATAAAAAAGTTCATGTTGTACAAATAACCAGGAGACAAAAATAAAATTTCATGTTTATTAACCCTTAGGCTGCTACGCACGGCATATGCCGTTTTGAAAAGTCGGGTCGTCAGTGCTACGCACTGCATATGCCTTTTCTCAGTCTGTAGGTTTTGATCGGTAGCCAGGAAGTGTGAAGTTGGGTTGTTGCTATACCAAACCTGAACGTGTATAGTAGAAGGCTTCTGATTGGTTGTTTTGTCATTACTTTCGATATTCCCGGCAGTGTACCCTAGTAATGACCAAAGGTGTGCGAGAGATATTTCAAATCAGAAGAAAAAGTCATAAAAATGGCGGACGTGTAGATTGAAGCGATGAATATGATGGTAAACATTTATTCTCCAGCGTCACCTACGATGATAATGAAGGTTTTAAAGAGTTTGACATGGTTGATGTGGAAATACTTCAGTGTAACATAATATGTAACTTTCCAATGAACGGCTTTGTGCCCTATGCAAACAGGAAAATATCGGCAGACCGAGGCACATATATCGTCTGCAGGTGAGGTCGAATTGGACATTGACATTGATACATTTTGAGTCGATTTATTTCTTCATTTTTTTTTTATCGATGATTTAATCATTAACTAGACTCTGAAAACGGCTTGGAACTCAACATGTCAGAATCTCCTCAATGTGTCACAGCGACGCTATTGTGATTTCAGCCTGGGGTTTGTTGTGTCTAGAACCACGATTGTCTAATCAATGATCACAAGCTGTTTTNTTTAATCATTAACTAGACTCTGAAAACGGCTTGGAACTCAACATGTTAGAATCTCCTCAATGTGTCACAGCGACGCTATTGTGATTTCAGCGTGGGGTTTGTTGTGTCTAGAACCACGAGTGTCTAATCAATGATCACAAGCTGTTGTTTGAACCGTACCTGCGGTCTAATTAACCAATTGTCATTTTATAATTGCATTGTTGTTTTTATCAGTATTGTAAAATTTGAAAGGTACGTGTTACACGACCTAAATCTACCTGTTGATGCAGATTTTAAAGAAACAACACAGACACAAGTAAATGTTTTTTTAACCTTCGTTTTTTTTTCTCCAAACGACTTCACATTTTTCACCTGCAGAAAGATAGAAGTCCAGCAATTGGTAATATTCAAAACGTCCTTTTTTAAGGGGGGGCTTAATGGCAGGCACCCTCCCTGTTCCCAGGTCATTTACCAAAGTGGGAAGGGGGCTTATTTGTGAGATGGGGCTTATTGCCGGTAAAATACGGTAAGTTATTTATATTTATGAAAACTAACAATTTAAAATGTACAAGCTCTAAGGCAAACAATCTTTTTTTTCTCTCGGTTTTATCGTTGTGGCACTCCTATGCATTGACAAATACAGACCTGTTCAACTTGATTTATTAAACATGACAAATGTCTGATTTAACTAGCTATACGGGTTAACGTTGTTAGGCATGAATCGTCGGACTAAACACATGTTCAGAAATCATACACATGAACATTTATAACCTACACGGTTGAGAAGAATGGAAAAATATAATTGTCTCCACTTGAGTTCGTTTCACTGCATTTTACGCAATGTGGAAGCAATATCTAGCTATCGATGTGAGTTTTAACCCAGAAAAGATGTGTCTGTACTTATAAAGATATTGAAATAGTTGCTGGACAAGGTGTAGCTATCTTTATATCCCATCAAGCACCTTGTGTTTCCGGACAATTTAGTCCAAATACACCTCTCGACATTATACAAACCTATATTGCGAACAAATATAATTCAACTCTCGATTTGTACCTATGATTCACCTGTAATCTATTACTCGATCAAATACGAAAAGATATCACAGTTGTGTTTGTGCCAAGCAAAATGATTCCTACGTATTATTACCTTTTTAAAACAAACTGTCATTTTTTATATCAAGTATCATTTGTTAAACTTAATTTGTGTTTTGTTTGTTTATGTTAAGTAATTCATTATCTTTAAAAAATGAAATGTTTACATTCGATTTTTGTTTACTAATTTTGAAAAACAATGGTACATGAGTTGATTTTACACATATACCATATTCGCCTTGATTAGCAACCAGGGTACTTGAAAAATTGGCTTAAGATAACAATACTTTGATTGTGTCAGTTGCTGTAATGGTAACAAAACTGTCGGACACATATCCTGGGAGAATTTCAAAATCATTGGACAAAATGTGTGTATTAAATACGAAATGTTGTTAAACTCAAGGAGACTGCAAGAATTGTAGTTTTTTTGGGAAAGAGCGGTGCTTTAATAATTCATTATACGTGCTGATAAAAGAGGAGGGATGCTAATCATGGCAAGTACGGTACACTGTATTTGACCGTATCGCTGCCTATGTTTTTATAAATCCCCCCCCCCACTTCTGTGCGAATTTCATAGACATAATTATTCTACAAAATATTTTTAATCCTTAGATTTGATA